GCGTTCCAAGCGGAATTACATGTGTTTCTACAGGTACAAAGGTGGTTTCGATATGCTGATTTGAAACGGGTTCGTCCCCTAGGTTTCGAGCGGAGCGTTCTTCCGGGGATTGTCTTACGACTAAACTTTAAAAATTGGGCATCACATTCAGATTGGATGCTGCACGACGTGTCGCTGCATTACATGCCTTTGGCCCCACCTAACATATCTTGGGAAGCCAAGAGTACAAGGAGCCCGCAACAAGTTCTCGTATCAAACCGTTCAAAACGTAGCAACGAACAGCAAAAAGCTACCCATTTCAATTCACGAACACTGGATAAGAAAGTAAAAATTTTGAGACCATGGAAAAGTGTCAGTTCATTGTTCCGTTCCATAGATCTTAGAATTTCATGCGCGAAATTATATCCGTTCATCCGTTCCTAACGCTAGAACCTTACTATTAATGGTAAGTAAACAATAAAGTTTGCCCTAAAAAATTTCTGTTGGAAGTCATTTATCATTAAAAATACGGTGAGAGTTTGACGCCACGAACTTGTCAAATGTTCAGTGAAGTTATCTTACTGGTGGCCACAAGAACCGGGAGTAGAGTTTAGTCCGATTCGCATAAACCCATTGTTGATTTACTGCAATAATGCGAATGCTATTGTTATAACAACATTCATTGTATCAGATTTTCCCTCAGCTGAAGTTTCTGTCAAGAATTCCTGCCAAGTTCCTATCGCATGCCTACTGTATATGACAAAATGTTAACTATGAATGTATGGTATTAATCATTAGTATCCCAACTAACTCTCCTACTGCACTTTTCAAGCAATTTGTGATCTTGACACCTTAATGTTCACCTGTCGCAGCCTTGCAGTAAACCTTATCATCAGAATTATTGTAGATCATTCTCGTGAGAGTGTGAAATTGCCTCTGTGGCGAAATTTTAGCGAAACGTATGGAGGCCGGACTTCAATATCAAATCCTCTTTCGACCTTTTAAGATGGGTTTCGCGAAGTGGTTGAGTATTGATGGACTTCTTGTAAGGAATGATGAAAACACGTATACCAGAGACAATTCACCAGTTGTCCTCGAAATTAGATTAAACAAACATTATGCGCCGCTCTCTCCGTTCCTCACTTACGCATCATCGATGCTGCTGTTCTGTTTCCTTATTCAGTGTCTATTCAAATTGACTGATACGCATGGAACTCCAATGTATATATACATTAGAGGTTTGTCCAGCTATTTAG